AAAAAATAGGGACCGAACCGGAACTTTCTCATTAAATTTCGTATAAACCAAAGTAACTAACGAATTTATCTACCCCTTCAAATAAACACATAAAAAATAAAATAAAAAAGAGTGAGATGTCCCATCCCTTCATTATGCAATATATAAAAATGGCATTTAATCGCAGTGACTTTGCTACAACAATATTCACAATGCAAAGAGCTCGTTGAAGGATTGACATCAAAACTTCCTTTGGCTAATAGCAGCAGAGGGGATTCGTTTCCCACAAATAAAGGAAAATTTGCATTAAGAGTCCCTAATCTTTTCAAAAATAAATTATATATAAATCATCTTCTTCTCCCAGTGACCCCCCTACTCTTTAAAAGGTTTACTGAGCTCCCGTTTGAGCTACATTATAGTAAAAATAAGAATGAAAAATATAGTTGTTATGGGTCCTACACAAAAGATAAAAAGTCAAATATGGTGATTTGATGTAATGAATAACGGTTATATTTTTCATTTTAATAAGAAAATAATGGGGTTCAAACAATGCCTAAATCTATACTTACTTTTAAGCCCCCGTTTGTCCCCCATTTTTGGAAATAAAAATTGGTCGAATAGAGCTTTTTTAAAAAAATAAGTGGTTGAAAAAGAAAAAAATATTTTCGATTTACGTGTAATATTATTTTATAAAATATTGTGTAGTTGAAAATATGAGAGAAAAAATTGAATGTAATGGAATGAGATTCAAACATGGAACTCTTTTCTATTCTCAATATATATTAAAATCTTCACAACCAATAAAATCTACCATCACTAATCTACAATCATATCCACAATTCATTAAGCCATCATTCCTATCATACATGCCAAAACTTCGATTCAAATGCACCTACCCCGGTTCGAAATTGAAGAACAATGACCTTATCACGGTGAAAACAACTGAATTGTGAAAATAATAATTAGAAACTTATAAAACAAATTGACACATAAACACATTGCCATTAGAGTTCTCTACTGTCATCCAGAGTATTAGATCACAAAAATTTCTCCCTCTTTGTCACTTGTGCTCCTAGACCTTTTTGTGTGTGTGTGAATTTTACAGTATTTGGAAAATTAAACACAGTTGAGAGTAAATGTAAAATTTTGAAAGATGAGAGTTTATAGTGTAATTATCCCATGAAAAATTGAAGAATTTTAGGCTTCCACTACTTCGAGGGTAAATTCCACCTGGAGTTGGAGTTAATATGCGACATATCAAAAACTTTCTAGCATACTTCCGTATGATAGAAATTGTATATTTTGTCGTTCAAAAGTTAAATTATTTAAATTGACACATGGCTCATGTCATTCGCCTCATCATTGAAAATAGTTATAACAATAGAAATTGTATATTTTGTCGCTCAAACGTTAAAATATTTAAATTGAAACATGGCTCATGTCATTCACCTCATCATTGAAAATAATTATAACAATAACTAAATTTTGTCTCCTAAGTAATTTTCATCACTTGTTCCACCAAGCAATCTAATGATACATTGCAATCAAATAATTTACAACCATAATAAATTTTAGTTTTAACTTTTACTAATTTAATTGAAAAGTGACTCCAAGATGGAGGAATGAAATTCAAACCCCTACTTTAATAAAAGTTCTAAAAGCAATTGGTCACTTTGGTATGAAAATAAAGATTATTGAAGGAGGCAAATGGAATCTTTCTTGGACTTCATATCTAAACAATCACTAATTTGAACACGCAAAACCAAGACCACCCACATGTCCCTCCTCCTTTCCATTTTTCTTTACTTTCTAATGATCACATGTATTAGGGCACGTGTGAATTGCGGTTAATGGGTACACGAAAAATCAAGATGACTGGTCAAATTTTTCTTTCTTTTCCCTTCAATAATCCCTTTTTTCTTTTTTCCTTCTCTTTTTTCATGAGCCGTGTAGGCGTCTCTCTCTTTTTCATTTTTTTCTTTGTTTCTAATTATAATATTTATCAATATATTCAAATCAAGAGAAATAGTAGAAGCAAAACAATAATCGTGAGATCAAATAAAATCAACAAGACAGTATTTTTGTTTCAACCTAGTTACAAACTTATAGTACACCATTATTTTCTTTTATTACTGACCTCAGAATCTAATAATGACACAGCTCGTCAATAAATCTTGACTCTACTCCTCTCTCCTGATATGTTACTTGTGCACTTGGAATATACACATTAGATGCGCATGATCATAGCATCTCCAAACATAAAAAATGAGGCGGGGGACTTCGATGCTGCACGCTACAACGCTCAAGTTAGTCAAAGGAACAGTTATAATTTGAATGCAGGAGTAATGCTAAGAGGAGGAGAAAATATGGGAATCAAGTTTGTAATGGAGAAAAAATTATCAAAATTGTAATTGTCTTCAAATTACACTAAATACGAGTATTTATTGGCGAAAGAGAGACACCTGATCGCAATTACAATTACCTTTAATTTTATAATTAACAAACTAATAATGCAATCATGTAATATGATTATGGTTTGTAATATGAATTACACAACTAAAGCATGGGAACTAATATGGTTAGAACGTATTCAATTTTGGTGTAAAATTGTGTGTAAATTTGTATTTTCAAAACTATATTTGCATCGTCATTTACATTCCGTTGGATTTAAATTCAAATTTTGCTACAATGAAAAGATCAAAATCAATTTTTTGCCTCTTGTGGATGTAAAAAAAAAAAAAAAGAGATATAAATGTACTTTTTAAAAAAAAAAAAAAAAAAATTTTTTTTTTTTTTAAATGCCAAAAAATGTATTTTTGAATAGTATATTGATGGAAAATAAGGAAAAATTTTGAATTTGCATGTAATATTATTTTATTGAAAAATGTTTGATTGAAATGGATTCAAAAAAAAAGAAAAAAATGTACTTTTTAAAAAAAAAAAAAAAAAACGTTTTCTATTTGTGCAATATGCATTTCCTTTGCATCTCTCCATTGGAGTGGTTTTTGATCACTTTGATGATCCAAAATTCCAAATCACAATTTATATCTATTTTACACGACAATTGGAGAGGCTCTCATTACATAGTTCGTACATGAATTATAGAAAAATTTAAAAATCAGCCACTATATCAGTCCTTGTAACTTATAATTGAACTAACACTTTCAAATTAAATAGTTAAAAATTACATTCTCAGAATGAGGATTATCACATAGTATGCGTTACAATTTCAAAAATTTATATACATTATAACAAGAACAAGACAGCGTCGGTCACGAGATCTGGTATGCCTTTCACATAGCCTTAAAACCAACATCTTCAATCGTCGGTAATTTGAGAGTGACTCGTCCATCATCAAATTCAAAATTTGATAACCCACTCCCAATCATGTTCTACCAGCCCAGAGAATTTTGATGTCCGACCTTGAGAATTTTGAGGTCCTAAGCAACTCATTATTATGAGGCCCTTAAACGTAGAGAAAATTTACATTCGTAAAAATACTTGAATATTTAAATAAATCATATATTTACATTTTAAACAAAGACTTGGTACGATTTAAAAGATAAAGTAGCAAATTCAAGTTATTTTTAATAAATCATATTATGGACATTATGGACTCATGAAAAAATTATTTTAAATCAAATTCAAATTATAACTTATTAAAGTAAATTACTGAATGTGTAATATTATTTTTCAAATTAAATCATATTACCATAATAATATTAGACTCGTTTGATAACTTGTAATTAATCATTTATGCTAAACTCAAGAAAAATTTATTTTAAATAAGATTGAACTAAGTTAGAATCAACCAAATAAATTATTGTTAAATAAATTTTTAACTAATCCATCTTTTAAATTTATAATAATTTAATTGGACTTCTACCACGGTTTTTATTTGGAGGCCCCCATTAAATATGAGACCCTAAGCCATTGCCTAGTTGCCCTTGGCTTAGGGCCGACCTCGTTCAGAAAAGATCCATTCACTTCTATATTTAAAAGAGGTTCAAGTTCTACTCACACTAGAAAGCTCGTGAATCATTTTAAGCTACAATTAAAAAGCTACCGATTACGTATCTGAAATCATCATTGGACCTATTTTTGACTTGACACTTTAATTTTATTATCACCTTCGAACGTATCATGTTCACAAGCTTGACTTGTGTACATTTATCACTTTCAGGTATAACAACAAATGATGCAATTCCAAATTCAATATATTTCTCGCATAACTCAAAAAAGAATGTAAACAAACAAATAAAAAGCTAATCTTGTCTCTTTAAAAAATAAAAATAACAATTATCCACATTTAATTAGGAAGAAATCAATGCAATTCATTGAATTATGTAACTATATTCGAACCATAGCCTAATAGTAGTAATTACATATGCAAGTGGAATTATAATTCCAAAAAACTGGAAGAAAATTGGGTATTGAATCAGAGAAGTTTGAAATAAGTAATCTACATCGCTCAAAAACAACATAAAGACGAATAAATAAACACCCAATGTCACGATTATCTTACCAGATTACGTAAAAATTACACATCCTGTAAGTTTCATATATAAATCCAAAAAACAGAAAATAAACAATTCACACATTTCATTGAAATACAAAAAATAACCAAGCATATACACTTGTAACTCGGCCATTTAATTCACTAAGATAACAATCATATTCGTTAAATACTATATTTAAAATCAAATAAAAGCAAATAGCAACTCAAAATTCTGCAAATTTCAATAATGTAGGACACGATCAAGTTAAATATTTCTTTTTCTTGTTTGAAGAGAAATAATGAAACAGCATTAGTTAATAAATTTGTTCATTTTCGTGTAACAAGTGTGTTAATTTCATGCATAAAAAAAGTCCTTCCATTACGGAGAACCAACCTCCTGATGGTTGGCATTTGGCATTTTAAACATGTACCTACAAGCTGCATAGATAGAAAGTCTACTCAGACAAAAGGAATAAAAATTATAAAATAATTTGATTAATAAGATGACCATAACATGTTAAGCTGGTAAAAAAGAAGAGAAGGGTTCAATTATTAAATAGCCACGCAATATATTATTCGTGATCAGCAACACAAGCTAATGACATGGGAAAAGTACAAAAGGGAATTAGAAGTGTGCAAAGGAAACTGCGGGAAATATCAACACAACTACGACAAAGATCTTTCAAAACATAATATACAAATATTATCCATTTAACTGGTTCATTTTGGGAGTGGTGTCCTCACAAATTCCCACGTGATCCGATGAAAAGCATCATTAGAACTTCTCATCCCAGCTACTTCATTGATGGGAACCGCATCAGTAATCTCTTTCAAATCTTCTTTTGTAAGCTTCACTTTCAGAGCACCAATATTATCGTGAAGATTCTTAATTTTGGTCGTACCTACACCAATATTTCAAGATTGGCAAGATAAATTATCATTAAAAACAATCAAATTCATGATATCGATATAATGCACATTTCACTGGCATCCATTGCATGTATGATTTCGGAGAAAATTATTTTACAGCATCTGCAAATAATAACAATTTTCCAGAGTAATCTCACTTAACGATCCGTCTTTCCTAATCTCCCTATCTAGGGTGAAATGGCCCAAATGGCTGTTAATTATAAGGCCTACGCACATAAATATGGTGGAAAATTAAGAGAAAAATAACTCTGAAGAGATTTACAAGCTCGTATGTATATCTCGACACCTCCAAGAAGCATACTGATATCTAAATAAGAAACTAAAAGACTCATGAAAGACGAGGGAAAGGTTGATCATCTCATACTCAAGTACATGAACTTCCAAAGGGCAGGGACGATCATCTCATACTCCAATATTATAGGCATATTTGTACAGTTATTCACGTGTGACGAGACCTCTGTTTCTTTCCCATCTCATAATCCTGAATTAACAAAAAACTGCACGAGCATGCGATAATTTTACTCTCATTCTATCCCTTCCATTTCCTTGAAAGAAAGGGTAAAAAGAAAAGGAGTTACGTAATTAGATATCTATGAAAAAGAATGTTGGTTTTCAACCCCATCCATAATGAGGGTACCTGAAATTCATGGGGATGCTAAATAGAGACTTCCAATTTTACAGCGAAAAACAGGGAGGGGAGGGTTGGCTGGTTTCAATTGGCGTTTAGCTTAGTCTAAGTCACAATTCCAGTTCAATTCACAAATCTCCAAGACAATCCACATTGATATACTTTTAATATGAATATTCTTACGCTCATAAAAACGAATTAAATGCCTCAATATAAATATGATGTGAGGGTAACAGCAAAGATTTTTAAACAGATAGTTCCAATTTCTTTAATACTCTACATTTCCAATCCGTCAAACATGGTTTCTACTATAGTTTTTAACGCTAAGGCTTTTACATGATTGACTAACCTGGAATAGGTACAACATCATTTCCTTGATGAAGAACCCATGCAAGCGCAAGTTGAGCAGGAGTGCATCCATGCTTCTTAGCCAACGCTTCTATACGAAAATATAGGACTTTGTTCTTATCAAAGTTCTCTCCCTGAAGCCTTGGGTGACTTGTCTGACGGTACGAAAATTAAACAACTTCTCATCAACAGGAGATTACAAAAGTGAAGATACTACTACATGATCCTGGATACTAAATAAGATATTACGCAATGAAATCTAAAATATATAGATGCACACACCAAAGAGCTATTTGGATCTGCACTTTCCACGATGGCCTTCCCAGCAAAAAACCCTCGACCTAAGGGACTGTATGGAACTATTCCAATTCCAAGTTCCCTATTTTCCATTTCCAAAAAAAAAAAAGAAGAAACAATATATGAGATCATAATCTCCGAACATGAAGCATAACAATAAGATGAAAAACTACAGAAACTTGAAGCGTAGTAGTTGAAAGAGAATGAATCAGGGTGTTCAAGAATTGATAGAGGAGGAAAATATTTTCTGTTTTTATTATAAGCACAATGATCAAAAATCTAACTAATCGTAGTTTCAACTTCAGGAAGAAAAAATAATGCAAACTTCAGGAATAAAAAAAATACAAAAACATGGAGTTTTATAATAGAAAATAGGAGCTCAACATTGTAATGTTAATCCTAGGATGAGGTTGTGCAAAATTAATTTCAAATTCAAATATCAGCCCTTAAGTTACAATTTAAGTACATAATTGCCAAGAGAGTCAACTGAAATTGTAATAGGGTTACAACAAAAATATTAGAGAAATATGAAAAACCTGCAAAGTGGAATTATTTCTTCTTCGATGTCACGAACCCAAAGGGAATAGTCCATTTGTATAGCAGTAACAGGATGAACTGCATGAGCCCTCCTTATTGTGTCTGGACTAGCTTCAGACAACCCAATATATTTTATTTTACCTTCTTTGACCAACTTTTTAAGTTCTCCCATCTGCAATTTATATACAATTTTATCAACAAGAGCAAACATGTTAGTAAAATGGAAAGCATGATAAAAAAAGGAGTACAAGCCAAGTGAAAACATGGTTAATGGCCACTTAAAGAATGGATACACGACACCAAGTAAAATCATTAAAAAATTAAAAAACTCACAGTGTATTCAATTGGCACAGTATTATCAATTCGATGTATATAGTAAAGATCGATATAATCCACATCAAGACGCTTCAGACTAGCTTCACAACAAGAGCGAGCATATTCAGGTGAACCTTTCACTATGACACCAGAAGCATCAAATCCTGCTACACCAAACTTTGTAGCTAATTGAACCTTTTCTCGAGGTAACTGCTTTAGTGCCTACAAAATTTAAATATCTTTTGTTAAGATAACTCAAAGGTGACTACTAAAAAGCTCATGCATTACATTAAGTCGAATTAATATGATAATTTCAAAAGGCATGAATACAACGTTAGAAAATAGTATTGATACATAAATTAATATGATAATTTAAAAAGGCATGGGTAAGGCAAAGTACTGAGACAGGAATTAAACCTCATTCTTCTACATTCTTTCCCATTATTTGTTCTACAGTATTCATTTTCAACCACACATTTATTAAAATAATACTTCATGCTAATCAAAAACTTTTCAATTCTTTTTTCATCACACATTCTCCATCAATCACCATTCCATAACACATTACTTCAAATTAGTGGAGCTCAAATGGGGCCTAATTCATACAATTTGATCAACAGTCTACAAATAGAATAATGTTATTTGTACATCACTGTGTACATAATGATGTACAGATAGATAACATGAAAAAAGAGCGAAAAAAAGAGACTGAAAGAAAAGAAATTCAGTTATTATAATCTTTCTTTCTCTTCCATGTCATCAATTTGTATACCGTTGTGTATACAATGATGTACAAATAACAAATTTTTATGGTTTCTTGTATTGGTATATGGACAATGGTGAGTTTTTTCTTCTTGCTCAATTTGTCAAAACACTCCTTAACTAGCGATAAAGAAAAACAAAGTAATTTTCATTTTTTTTTGGTTGAAAAAGTCTTTTAAAACTAAAATGTCTAATTTTACTTTATTGATAATAACATTATCTTTCTCATTTCATCTCTTTCTTCACTCTCATACTAGCTCCCAACTTTACAATCATTTTTTGTGCGGCTTTCCTGCCTTCCTTTTTTATGTTTCTTGTATGTTTCTTAATATGAAATCAGTAGTAGCTAAAGATCTGTCAAACCGCTAAACAGTTCTCTTACACTCTTCCAAAGTATGCAATATAAAAGGTCAAGAAAGCACAATATGATAGAAACGGTACAACATAAAAGAAAAGGTGAATCACAAGAAGCAAGCAGTTTGTCAATGTAAAAGAAAACGACATGAAGTATATGAGTAGGTTAAAATTTTATTACACATATTTACCTAAATTCATTCTTAAAAAAATAAAAACTAAATAGGTACTACAAGAGAATGTTTGAAGTGAGAATTCGTTCAAAAGAAGTGGACTTCGGGGTAGATTCTCAAGCTTTATTCTGGGTAATATTGATATACTGCACATCTTCCATGAGTTACAGCTCATGGACAATACTTTACATCAGTTGATATCAAAGATTGACGTCTCATGTACAACTTGGTATTGAAACATTCTCGTTAAGTGAGTAAACAATGTATATGTTTGAAATATAAGATGATCTAAAGGAAGTGTGCTTCAGACTAATTTTCAAACTTGATTAATTTTATGTATTATATAATGAAATATACTAGTATGACGAATTATAACTTTTGACCAAAATAACAGCAATGCCCTAATCAATAGGTCATCAATGGGAATGATCTCTTGAAGTTGAGGAGTATGTTTCACTTTTTCTGTCCAGCATTGTCTTTAAACAAAACAAATTCCTAGTTATTCCTTAAGATGTTGGCAGCCAAACCAAGGACTAGAAATGTTTAATGGAGAGGAAAAAGTCAAAACGGAATCATGTTGATATGCGCAATTATTGAACTTTAGCGACATTTGATTTGATCGTGAAATTTCATTCCGTTTGAACTCATCACTTAATTTTTAATTACAATTGGAACAATCAATTTGAACGTTTACATAATCGAATCATTGCACCCATGTCTATAGTTTAACTAATGAAACCTTACATGATAATCTAATTGGCAAAGAATGTTTCTAACATAAATACATATCTAAATATCCTCAGTTGAGATATTAAGATGATGTACAAATAACAAACACCATAGTTTCTTTGTTATAAACATATCTACATCAATTGATAGAAGAGTCTGCCTCTTAAATCACCCTGGGAACCACTTCTTTAAAATTCTCATATTTCCCTTGCTCACTTTTAGTAACAAAGACTCCTCTAAATGTTTTTATTAACCCAGAGTTAAATGTAAAAAAATGGAGCCTCATTTAGATCAGCTTGATTCCTTATAATATCATTATCGTCATTCACATCAACTTTCAATTACAAAGGAAGCAAAAGTACAGCCATAATCAAGAATAATTTTCTTAGCAAAGTACCTACCTTCCCCACCAAGTACTCGTTGGCATGGTTCATGCCATAAGCATCCGATGTGTCAAAGAACGTAATTCCTTTATTAAATGCCTCTTTGATTATTGCAATTCCTTCTTCCTCAGGGACAGGATTATTGTAGATACCTGAAAGCCCCATACAACCATAACCTAGCCTTGATACCTAGGAGGGAAAAACATGTCATTGGATAAAGCAATGAGATTTAGGATACATTCTTTGAAGATCATTGCATTATCTACAAATTGAATCGAATCCCAAATTGAATTAAGTAATTGTAACATATACCTCAAGTCCTTGGGTTCCCAGTTTCACTCGTGGCATCTCAAATTGTTCGGCCATTGCTAATTTTCCTCGAACTAAGCAGCGCCTCTTCAAGTTCCAGTAAGTTGAAGCCACTGGAATTGGCGTAAATATATGTATATGAAAGGAAAACTCTGGAAGTCCCCAGGACCCAGCTCTGAAAACTCTGGAAGCCCCCAGGACCCAGCTCTTTTTCTTCATTCTTCGAGCTCTTTCTTTGAACTAAGCAGTGCGTCCACGTTATCAATGAGGAACAGCAATATTCAGCCACGGGGCTTTTTTTTTTAAAATGCGTTTGATATATGTACGTGTGTATATAATGTATATATAAAAATTATCTCCCAAGTAATTGTGTTTAGCTTACGTCAAATATTGATAATATGGTACATCATTCAATTATATATTTTTTTTGTTAATTTTAAAGTAAGCCAAAGAACGACTGTTTATGTTTCATTTTTTCAAAAATATAATTTTTCAAAATTTATTTCAATTATACATTTTCCAGAATAAATTAAAACTCTCACTCACACGCACTCACTCGTGTATTGGAAGGAGGAAGAGAATAGTTTACATTTTATAGTTTACAGTATGGTTTGGATGGGGTGGGGGTGGGGGTGGGGTAGGGTGAAGAAGGAGATGAATAGTATTTTTTTTTGCTTTAGTTATTTATTTTAATTGTTTTATTATAGGGTTAAGTACTTTTACTTTTTTACCCTTTTCAATTAGTCAAAAATTGGTCAATGTTTAATTTTATTGGTCAACTAACGGTCAAACGGACGGTTTCCATCCATTTGGACTTCGGGTGCAGATTTTTGAAAGGTTTGGTACCTCCGGTAGCACAAACTAAAGGTTTGGGCAAAGTCTGCTAATAAACGAAATGTTTGGTATCTCGGCTGCAATTTTCCCTTCTTTTTTATCACACATTCCCAAAAAATAGATAAGTAAGTAAATGAAAAAGAACAGAAAATTTAAAATTTTGGGTATTATATATGTATGTACATGTGTGTGTGTGTGTAATATCATTATTTTTTCTTAAATTGTATAATTGAAATAAGTGCTTGTTTGGTAGAGATTTTGAGAATTGATTTTTTGACCGATAGAGATAAAGTGAATTCTAGCTGTGAGAAAAGAATTCAAAAACAACGGTTGAAATAGTAAAATAACTGTAAAAAAAAATTTGATTTTAATTGACTTAACATCACCGTCAAACAAGCTGTAAATTTTGAAAAATTATATTTTTGAAGCTCTTTTTCTTCATTCTTCGAGCTCTTTCTTTGAAGTAAGCAATGCCTCCACGTTATAAATGATGAACAGCAATATTCAGTCGCTGGGCTTCATTAAAATGCAATTGTCTGAGAAGATGTGTTTTGAAATAGAGATTATTTTATTTTATTTATTAATTTATTTATTTTTAAATATGTGATTAAAAAAGAATAAAATTTTTAAAATTATTGCAATATCATTATTTTTTCGAAAAATGAATAACTAAAATAAATTTTGAAAAATTATAATTTTTTCAAATGGAATATGTATTCCATATATGTGTGCGTATAAGTATTCCATTTTGAAAAATTTTGTGTGCGTGCGCGCGCGCGTGCGTGTGCATTTTGAAATAGAGATTTTTTATTTTATTTATTTATTTATTTTATTTTGAAAATGTGTAATAAAAAAAGAACAAAAATTTTAAAATCATGTATAATATCATTATTTTTTGAAAATGTATAACTGAAATAAATCAACTGGATCCGAGTGATAAGGCTTAGGTGTCGGGTGGATGAATTCAAGTATTTTAATGCTCAAAATCACCCACTACAATTTGATATTTCATAAACAAAACCGTTTGGATCCACGTAATTATTATAATCAAATTGTCGATTTGAATTGGGTTCAATTCCACCAATGACAAAAAATCGTGAGTCAACAATACAAATTATTTCAATTATTTCACCTATATTTTATAGAAAATAAATGTGTCACCAAATACATATTTAAACACCTTATTAACCCAATACAAATATGCCACAAAATACTGTCTAATATCTAGTGTAATAACATCCAATATCTAGCATTTCAAAAATACCATTAGTTATAAACTAAAATTGTGATGAAGAGTTGTCTAAACAGTCCAAAGACAGAGGGCCACCACTGTAATTTTCCCATTTGGACATATAACCCCAAAGAACCGGTAAGCATTAATTTTTGAATCTTTTCTTCTACTCAGTTTAACACCATTAGGCATGTGCCCACAAGCTACATAGATAGCAACTCTACTCAGACAAAAGGATAGTACGCCTAGAAAACAATTTGATTATCAAGACGAACATAGGATGGTTATCAAAGAGATAATAAAAAACAACGAAGGTTCAATTATTCAATAACCATGCGATATATTACTTCCGATCTACATCCACACAAGCTAGTGAAAAGTTGGATTACCAATAAAAGTATGTAGACAAAACTACATCAAATATCGACAAGACTAAAACTCCAATTTCTTCAAAACATCACACACTAATAAAAGGACAATACATCTAGAAAACAATTTGATTATCAAGATGACCATAGGATGGTTATCAAAGAAAAAACAAAAAACAAAAAGAGGTTCAATTATTCAATAACCATGTTATATATTACTTCCGATCTACATCCACAAAAGCTAGTGAAAGTTGGATAACTAATAAAAGTTGCAAACAAAACTACATCAAATATCGACCCCACTAAAACCTCAATTTTTTCAAAACACCCCGCTAATAATTATCCATTTTGCTGGTTCATTCTAGAAGTGGAGTATTCACAAATTCTCATGTGATCTTATGTAGGATGGTTATCAAAGAAAAATAAAATAAAATAAACAAAAAAACAAAAACAGGTTCAATTATTCAATAGCCATACGATATATTATTTTTGCTCTACATCCACACAAACTAGTAAAGGTTGGATAACTGGTAAAAGTATGCAAAACAAACTACATCAAATATCGACACAATTAAAACTCCAATTTTTTCAAAACATCACATACTAATAATTATCCAATTTGCTTGTTCATCATAGGAGTGGAGTACTTTTGATTTACATCCACACAAGCCACTGAAAGTTGGATAACTAGCAAAAATATGCGGACAAAATTACATCAAATATCGAAACATTTTGCTAGCTCATTCTAGGAGTGGAGTGTTCACTAATTCCCGTGTGATCTTATATAGGATGTTTATCAAAGAGAATAAAAAACAAAAAGATGTTCAATTATTCAATAGCCATGCGATATATTACTTTTGATCTAGATACACACAAACTAGTGAAAGTTGGATAACTAGTAAAAGTACGCTGACAAGACCACATGAAATATCGACACGACTAAAACTTCAATTTTTTCAAAACATCACACGCTAATAATTATCTGCTGGTTCATTCTGGGAGTGGTGTGTTCACAAATTCCCATGTGATCTTATGAAAAGCCTCATTTTGACTTCTCGACCCTACTACTTCGTTGATGGGAACCGCATCGGTAATTTCTTTCAAATCATCTTTTGTCAGCTTCAGTTTCAGAGAATCAATGTTGGAGTGGAGATTCTTAATTTTAGTTGTACCTACAAATATTACAAGATTGAAAGTTAAATCATCATTGAAACAAATGCAATTCGTGAGATTTCAATCACCATCTACAACATTGATTTCTGGGAAAAATTCTTACAGCATCTACAAATGATAATAATTTTCCAGAGATAAAAAGCTTAAGTACACCAAATTCTTATCAAAATCTTACCTAATGATATTACAGTATATAGATCCCCAAGGAGGAAGGTGAGACTGGACCAAACTTCATGTTATTATTTGAATAAGTGGAATGATCTGCGTAAACTAGTTTTGATATAATCCAACTTAATGATCCAGCTCTTTCTAGTTTCTACCAAGGAATAGATGGCCAAAATGGCGCTTCCTGTAGTTAAAAATGCTTATAGAGGAAGCTGGTCCAATGTATCTCTCTAAAAGCACTTCCAGAACAGGAAACAATTTTGAAAATTAGTTTCCAAACAAAAATTCAGCTTTCTTTCTCCAAACACTGCCATACCAAACGGGCCAATAGTCATTAGCTCTAGAAATCAATGTGGTGGCAAAGTTAACACTCCTCAAACCTGTTTACGTGGGGGGGGTTCTCCCTCTCTTCGTGAGCCTGTTTGTGTTCACTGGCGGAAGAGAGGCAAGATTCTAAAATAGGCACTTCCAATATTTTTAAAGAAATGGGAGAGGGGCCAAAGGAGGTTATCGTGTTGATACTCCCGACCAAACTGATGAGGGAACTATAAATCTCCAAAATTCCCTTTGCCCAATACTTAAACTAACTGAATTCACACTGAACTGAATCACATGAGGCCGCCCATTTAATTAGTTCAAATGGCTGTTTCAGTATAGTCCATGTTACAATTCCAGTTCAAATCATTATTAAGGATCTAAACTAATCAGAACAGCTGAATGCACACATCTCCAAGATGATTTCTGTCTACATACTTCTGGATATGAATATTCTAATACTCAGAGACAAAAGAAACGTTTCAATTTGAATATAATGTGAGCTCAACAGCAAAGTTTTCTAAACATATAGCTCCAATTTCTTTAATAATCTCCATTTCCAATCTGTCCAACATGGTTTCTATTACAGTATTTAGAGCAAAGATTTTTATATAAATGGCTCACCTGGAATTGGTACGACATCATCTCCTTGATGAAGAACCCATGCAAGAGCAAGTTGAGCAGGAGTGCATCCATGCTTCTTAGCCAATGCTTCTATACGAAAATATAGAACTTTGTTCTTATCAAAGTTCTCTCCCTGAAGTCTTGGGTGACTTGTCTGACAGTACGAAATTAACCAATTTTTCAGCAACTAGAGATTAAAAAAGTAACGGAACTACTAAGCGATCCTGGACACTAAAGTCTTGTGCATTGAAAATAAAAAAGATATATATGCATACACACCAATGAGCTATTTTCCACGTTTTCCACTACGACCTTCCCAGCAAAAAATCCTCGACCCAAGGGACTGTAAGGAACTATTCCAATCCCAAGTTCCCTATAATCCATTTCCAAAGAGAAAAGAAGAAACGCTATCTGAGATTATAATATTAGAATAGGAATAACAATATATATTTGAGAAATATGGGAAACCTGCAAAGCGGAATTATTTCATCTTCGATGTCACGGATCCAAAGGGAATAGTCCATTTGAATAGCAGTAATGGGATGAACTGCATGAGCCCTCCTTATTGTGTCTGGGCTAGCTTCAGACAATCCAATATATTTTATTTTACCTTCGTTGACAAGATTTTTAAGTTCTCTCATCTGTAACTCAAAAGTAATTTTATCAACTAGAGCAATCATATTGTTAGTGACGTGGAAACCATAATAAGAAAAATGAGTGCAAACCAA